GAGCCCCCAAATAAATTATAAAAAAATGTAATTCATTGATTTATAAATTAAATTTATTAAAAATTTTATTTTAATAAATATCGCGCCGCCGCCAACAAATTAGTAGGCCACGGCGAAATCGGCGCACCGCCGAAAGCCGATGAAAAAATTGATTGAGACATCGGCGCACAGGTCTAATTACATTACACGATAAGTTTTTTATTTAAATTCAAGTATCGGTATATAATAAAAAAAAAAATATGTAAGTAACATCAAATTTAAGTATCGATTTATATAAAAATAAACAGAGAGTAATATACAAAAAAATGTAATTCCATTTTATAAATTTTTAAAACTTTATATTTTATCCCCCATCATCTGTTTGTAAATCAAAACAGTTTAATCGCTTTTCACCATTTATTTATATAATAAGATGTAATTTTAAATGTACCATAAATAATATTGTATTCACTTACCTTATCTCAAGTCTATAACAATATGAACCTGTTTAAGTTCGACAAAATAGAGCTCTGAATTTATACCAATATAAGCCATATAAATCTAAGCTTAAAATTATAAATATCTTTTCAAAAATTTCACAAAGTTTTATAGATAATTCTTAATTTCGTTACTATTCAATTTTTCTTTTATTTAATAAAATTCTTACTTTTATCTCAGCAACCGTAAAGATATATTCAATTTAGCTCTATAAAATATAGTAAAATCCGTTCAAAACCTTATTTCCTTTAATGTTAATTACGTAGCCATTAAAAAAAATGTTCCATTTGCCTTTACAATAGGGCTAAAATCCGTTCAAAAATTATTTCTTTTTAATGTTAACTACATAACAATTAAAAATATATTCCATTTTCCCCTCATAATAGGGTTAATTCATTCAAAAATTATTTCTATATTCCATTTTTCCCACAATAGGGTTAAAATTCATTCAAAAAAATTTTTTTTAATGTTAACTACGTAACAATTAAAATATATTCAATTTTTAGCAACAATTATTATAATCCACATATATATCTTTTATCCCATATAGGGGAGACCAGGGCTAGTCGGCGCAATTTTTTGTCAAAATCATCATAGCTCCGAAAATAATGATCATATAAGATCTTACAAAATACCAATAGATACCTTAAACATATACCTATAAATATATACTGTTATATTTTTTAAATATTTAATAATTATAGAAAGGTTTTAGTAAAAGTCATTTTTTGAACCTAGTAGCCCCGAACCCGTGGTTAGTCGGATCATCGATGGGGCTAGTCGAATCAAGTGGTTTATTAGGCTTCTTATGGGACAAAAAAAATTTTTCGCAGATTTTAAAATATAACTATGATACTTTATTTATATAATATTCTATTTATAATTATAACAAATAAAATAACAATCTTTTTTGACAGAGAACTACTACATTGAAACCAATCTTCAAAATTATGAAAACTTATAATCCTGTTTACATATAATACACACATCTTTTATATGTTTATATTTATTAATAATAAATTTACTCAAAATTTATCTAATTCTATATTTAAATATATAACATCATTTGATTTTATTATCAGGCTAAATATAATCTGATAACTAAAATGTTTATGTTCAATAAAATGAATTAATTTGAATCATGTTATATTGTCAATTAAAATAGATATATAAAATATTTGTTTGTTAGATATAATTCATTTTAAATATATTGATATTATTATCAGGCTAAAATTTATATGCTAAAATGTTCGTATCTAATAAAATGTATTAATTTGAATCATATTATATTGTCAATTAAAAAAAAATATATATATTATATTTGTTTGCTATCAGGCTAAAATTTATATATGCAATATATATAATATCTGTGACAATATATAATATATATTCACAATATGTATATGTAGATTTTAGTTTGCAAGATATTTATATAGGTCTGATATTATATTAAAATTGAAATGTATTATGAAAAATCAATCACATTAATAAATTTATATAATAATTATTATTTAATATATTACATTTATAAAATATTATATTATGATTATCTGTACAATATATAATATATTATCACAATATGTATATGAAGATTTTAGTTTGCAAGCTATTTATTTATCTCTGATATAAAATTGAAATAATCAATCACATTAATAAATTTATATAATATAATAATTATTATTTAATATATTACATTTATAAAATATTATATTTTAACCTGTAATAAATGGTATTTTTCTTAATGAGATATTATTTTCATACAGTTTTATAGTTTCTTCATAATCTTTTTTTAATAAAAATTTTACTATTTTGAATTTTGCATATATATTTGGGTACCATAATAATATAATAAAAATTGACTGATTGCGCCGACTAGCCACGATTCTACTAACCTCAATGGTGGTAATATTACTAATTTGATCTTAACATATATTTAAGCTTTATAAATCAATCTAAAACTTTCCCAAATATTAAAATAGATATTTAACTTTCATATAATGTTCATTTTGTCATTAAACTTTTATTTTTTTAATACAACCTAATAATATAAAGTGAAAATATTGTAATTTTTACGTCAAAAACATGTCATAACGGATAAAAATTTAAATAGCTAAATATTATAAATTATTTTCATCCCCAATTATGGATATTATTGAATTCTATTTTAGAATTAAATTTCAAATTTTAATCTTTACTGGATTTAAAATAAAATCCTTTGAACCGACAAGCCCCTTGCGCCGACTAGCCCTGGTCTCCCCTATATCCTTTATATTTCTTTTATACCATATATATCCCTCACTAATAAAAATTATCTTACAAAAATCCCTATTCTAAATATTCAAATATTATTTAATAAACGAAAATCCTAGCCTATCATGATCCTTAAAATTAAAAAATGATAAGATTTCTTTAATTTAAATAATCATATCATATGTTTCAACAATGATAACATTTCTTTTAAATTCAAATATATCACATATATGTTTAACAATTCAAATTAAATACTTTATATGTTTAATTCAAATTAAATCAATATTAACACACCATTCAAAATAGATTACATTAATAATGTATCAACATTAATTAAAAATGGACCAACACACATTACCCTAATTATATTCACTAATCTTAATAGATAAAGATAAGAGATGTTTTTTAACATAGTTTATATATAGTTAAAAATGTTTATTTTTAATATAGCATCTTAAAATCATCTCTGTATGGACTGCTTGCTTACATATAGTCCCAATACATCATATTGGTTATACTCAATTAATTTTTTTATTTTAGTACCAATATAATGCATATTTTTATAATGATTTTTAAATATAACGCCATCTATTTCATATTTTTTATTTATAAAAATTTTAATTAAATTAAAAAAACCAAAATGCCTATCTAAAATTTTGATTAAACAGTTAAACATGAAGGTAATAAACATTCCTAGCGAATATCAACACCCAAAAAAATATCTTCTCAACAATGTTAATGTTTTATTTTACGGGAAATAAGAAAACACTTAGAATTTTTTTTGATATTTTTCAATGTAAAATTTTAAAGGCTATAAAATTATATATAATTTGTTACTCTATCTTAAGTTTTTTTTCTAAATATAGATTTATTGAAATCACGCAATGGTGATTTTCGACTTAGAAGACGTATATTTGGATCTAATTCAGCGCTTTAAAATTTTGATTTCACTAAAATATTCAGCATAAAAAACTATTATGCCAAGTGTCATCCATATTAGAGATGGTCATCCATAAATCTCGTTTTTTTTGTTGATTTAACATGGAATTACCAATAAAATTTATTTGCAATTCAAGAGACACCCGAACCTTTATTTAAATGGTGGTTATGGTTCAGTATGTAAAAAATGGTTACGGTTTGGTTATGGTTTTTAAGAAAAAATTTATAAAGTTTCGGTTCGGTTCAACTAATTGTAACGCTTTATAAATGACTACAGTTATAAATTTTTTTATAATTATTATTGAAGCAGAGTCATCTTATAATGATTTTAATCATGAATATTATAAGTATCTATGAATAATATATAAAAAAATATATAAGAATCATAACTCATTTTTTAAATATATTATTTGAATTTATAAGTAATATATGTTCTAATGTGGATTCATATTGATAACACAAATTTTAGTCCCGAATAGGCTATCAACAGAAACTTATGTTGCAGGAATCGCAATTACTATAAGAGCAAGTTTATATAATTCTGGATATTCAAATTTTAATGATTCCCAATATATAAAAACTGATGATTTTTTAGATTAATTAAATAAATGCAACTAAATCAAAAATTGGTTATTTAGATATTTTCATACTAAAATATAGAAAATAGGAATGATATAATACTTAATGAAGTAGTTAGTAGATTGTGGATCAATTTAAATCATAGTGAAAAAATTAATACATACGTCTTATGGATATTGAACAAATATGTTGATCATAATTATAAATAACGACGCAGATATAATAAAATATGTAATACACCACAAGGAAAAGGATGTAAAATTATTTATTTTGGTTGAAACCAATTTAACTTTTTTTAAAACTGTTATTTTTACTCCTTCAAAAAATAATTATATCGGTTTGGTTACGGTTCAGATATTTATAACGGTTTATCAGTTCACTTCGGGACCCTGATTATAATTTTAAAATTTTATATATTAATTTGATTTTCTCATTTTTAATAAAAACATTAGTAGAGTCTCCAACAATAATGATTAAAATAAAATATCATAAATTAGCCCGAAAAAAGAGAGAACATCTCCAAGATCGTTCTTTCCTGATCACTTACGAAGTGATTGACCAATATATAAGAATTTTTTTTTATTTAAGATACTTTGGAACCTTCGATTTTATATTTATTAGCCATTGCATTGTGATTTTAGAAAATAAATGTGCTATAATATTAATTTCTTAAAATACTACTCGTATAATGTACTATCTAATTGATTTGATTATACAAATTGTTACTATAAAACATAATTATATATTAAACACAGGCGCGGCTCTAAGTTCTAGCGAGGGAATGGCTCAAGAATTCGGCGTGATATCTCGTCCAATTTTAAGCCGTCAACAGTCTTCCCAAAAAGAGGAAGACCCTTTAAATCCAGCTAACAAACTAGCAAATCTCGTTAGGGAAAAGAGAAAACCTTTCTTTAAAAAGGTAAATATGCAAAAAATATTTCGTCTTTTCCTCAGTAAGCCCCTTTTTTAATATAAAATATTTAAAATTATACACAAATAATTCTTTAAAAAAAAGATAAATTTATAATAAAAATAGTCATTCTATAAAAACGGAGTGGGACTACAAGTTCCTTAAAAACAGGAATTATTGTATTTAAAAGAAATTGTATATTTTGTTTTAAAAAATAATATTCTTTAGGTACTAGTGTAAAGGCTCTTATTTTACCCTTATATTTTTTAAAAATTTCAAGTTCCGCTTGACATATGTCCAAGGGAAGAGATAACGATTTGTAAAAAAAATACAATTTATTAATTTGTAATATTTAATTGTTTTTTTTTCGGCTATATAAACCGGGTCAGAATTTAAATTTTTTGGAAATGAAGAGACGCATGTGAAGTCCCAAATTAAGGATTTACATAAAGATCAAGGCACAGAAGTTAAGCCATCTGGTCTTAGGCCATCATCTAATGATAAATTAACAGGCTCCCGGATGTTTGGTATTCGGGCCCTGGTAAGAGAAAGGCTAATCACTGATTTAATTGCTTAGTTTCTTTGTCTGCCTTGATTATATATACAATTAAGACCATGTCTCACTTTGGAATCAACTGTGTATGTGGTTGAACTATGTTACCAATTCGATGGCCTATGAAAACTCTTAATTGTTCATCTGATAAGTGGTTACCTAGGTTACGACTTGGTAATGCTTCCAGCCATTCATAACCACTAATATAGTCAGCATTTTGTAATAGTTGAATATACTCTAAAGGGTAGTTTGATGAGAGTATTTTAGAAATTTTTTTAGTTAGAGGTTCAAAAATTGATTGATGTGTTATAACTGTGGGTAAAACAGCTTTAGGTAGAGCTAAAGATATCCAAGCTGTCAAGGCTGAATTTAAAAGGTTATCTTTAGGAGTTATAAAAGAAGATATCATGGCTTTGTTCATCTAACAGGATGCCAAAAATGAATAAAGTGATATAAGATTTAATGGATATAAATCTAAACAACCCATTTTCGAGGGTAATTATGAGAAACCCCAGTTAAAATCTTCCAATTTATATTTTAATATATTTTCTAATATACATCTAATAAATTCATATAATTATTTCTTTATTTAAAAAAAAAGGAAGAAGATCTAAAAATATGTAATATCTTTGGTAAAAAATAAATATTTTTTTAAAAGAAAAAATGTGTGACTTTTAAAATATTTTCGAATCCTAATAAGTCTTTAAAAATATTTTCCATGAACACCTCACAGTTGAAAAAACTGCTTAAAGGTGAACCAAGAAGATAAATTTCACTTTCGTTAATTATTTTAAACACCTGGACTTTAAGGGCATTTGAATTTAAAAAGCATATTTCAGATTTAGCTTTATTTAGAGTAAGAACTATGTTTAGAGGATTCTGCTCTATATAGTCTATCGCTGCTAAAATATTTTTAGAAGGTCCGTAGATGGTGTCATCATCCAGGTAATAAGGGGTTTTAAAGAATGAATTAGGTTATGTATGCCTAAGCTAAATATGAGAGGGTTCAAAGGGTCTCCTTGTTGTATACCCTTTTTAGAAGGATTGTATATTCCTCGAATTTGAGAGGGGTTCAACAGCCATGTGACTGTTCAATAAATCTTGCATAAACTTAAAATACTTTTCTGGATAAAGAATTAAAAGCATTTTTAAAATCCAGATTATAGACTACTGCGTCAGGAGGAGAATCCTTGATATATATACGAAGAGAGTGGAGGGCTATTTCGCATCCCCCTTTAGTACCAAATCCTAGATGATATTGGAAAATTTTTAAATCATGTTTGATGCGCTCAACGATTATCTTATTTATTAGTCTCCTAAAAAAACCTATTGCAATCGGCTGAACCCCATCATCAAGCTTAGATAGTGCAATTAATCTTGCACCAAAAAGGATTTGGTGAAAAATCTTTGTTTATATTTTAGCTAAGTATTACCAATGAATTTACAAATGAATCCTGAATAGGATTTTTAGGGTTTATTAAAAATTGAAAATAAGAGGGGCGAAAACCGTCAGAGTTTTTATTAAAAGATAAAACTTTTTTAATAAGTTCTTCCTTGCCTATTTCGATTGAATTAGATTTTATAGAAGTGGGAAATCCTCAGCAAAAACCTGAGGATGTAATTCTTTCAATAGGATGAAAGTATGTTCAGCAAACGGGGCCATTCATTAGATGGAGCCAATGTGAGAGCTCCACATACATTCCCTTAGTCTCTTTTTTTGAGATTTTACATTTGTTGGCCAGAAGTAGCCCTTACATCAGGTACATAATTTTCCATTTCTACGGCATAAAAATGGTCAATTCTATTTTAAATAAAATCTTATTAAGAATTTTTTTTATCTGTAGGTTTAATTAAGAATTTCTAAGAAAAGGTTAAAAGATTTTCCTATGCTTTAAGGAAATTTAAATCTAAATTAACTTCCATAATAAGTGTTGTTCAAAAAATTAGAAATTAAAGACCTTGTTTTAAAAGGTAGGTGGACTAAGGTTGTAGCCTTTCCCATTTTAAAAATTTATCATAAAAATCTGGATAAAAATTTAGAGTTACAATGAGGGTTGTTTCAATTTTGTTGTTCAAAATTTCATTTGAAGAGGGGATGCCAGAGTTTAACATGGTTTTAACTTAGGCCCATGTTTATAACAAGTTGCCTGGGTCAAGGTTATATTTCTATGGCAAGCATGCATTACAAATGCTTGACATACCCATTTTAGAAGAAAATTTTTTTTAAAAAGGGGGGGGGGGTAAATATATAGATGAATGACCTATTTCCAAAACTGTTATTTTAAAAATAAAAATTATAATGTTTAAAAATAAAATTCATTTTAAATAATAATATAATAGTAGATAAATTAACTTAAAACTTTAATATGATTGAAAGAAGTATTTTCATCATTATTATCTGATTGAGTCAAAGGAATCTGGGTAGTAAGTTTCTTTGGCAATTATATATAAAGCAGTGGATATTATTTGATTGAATATTTGAGGGTATAATAGAAAGTATGAAATATTTTGTAAGGGTATAATTTTGGTGATTTTTATATGAAGGGTGATATTGTGGAGTGGAGAATATATGTCTCTTTGTATAATTTCTGCGTCAAAGTAAATGATATGATGTGATACTGTTGGGTGGCAGTGTGGCTTCTTAAATATGTAGAGTTTGATAAAATCATCAGTTGAGGTTAACCTTAGGATTCATTTGATTATTTTTAAAATTTATTATCTTCTTGGCACACAGCAATTATAAATTTGTTGATATTCAATTGATATTTTTCCATTATTATGTATTTTCATTTATCTTATCTTTCAGTAAAAGTTTTATATTATTTCTTATTATATAAGGCTGAATCTAGCATTCTTTATTAATAATTAGCAGATCCAGGAAATATGTTGGCAAAATTCAAATAGTTTGGTTTCCTTTTTATGAGTTAAATTCATTTTTAGTAAATTATTAACCTATTAAAATAATCTATCATGGAATCTATGTTAAATAATAAATCTTAAATTTTTTTTTTCAAAGTTAAACTTGTGGATTTGTACATATTAAATTTGACAATCATTTCTGATTATTTATTTCTACCTAATTTCAATTAACGGGTTTAGTCGATTTTTTAAATGGCTCGATTAAGATTTACACCAAAATAATATTATGTAAGCCTCAATATTTGGCAAATAGAGGTCCAAACTTTTCTACTATCTATGAAACTAATCTACAGACTTACGTAATATATAATCGGACCGTTTAACAACATAATTAATAACAACTAAATATTATATAGAGAATTTTAAACTTACAATAAGAGTGGAACCTTTGATATAAAGATTATACAGTTAAGGTTCTAAGATGATAAATTATATCGGTTTAGGTTCTGAGAAGATAAAATTATATCGGTTTAGGTTCTAAGATAAAATTATATCGGTTTAGGTTAAGGAATTAAATTTTTTAAATGTTCGGTTCAGGTTCAAAACCCTTTAATGAAGGATCTCACATAAATTAGTTAATTTTTTATACAGGGTATTTGAGTCTTTATATGATGTCCAATCTTGTTTTTTATGGGGATAAAATGCATTATAATCCTGAATAGCTATTGTTGCTCATTGAAGAGTTCGGGTTGCTCTAATTTTCTTCTTTCCCAATATATAAGAATATCAGTCTTCAATACGTTTGATGATGTTTGAAAAATTTATACAGGAACCTAAATTCTGGTTATGTATTGTGAGACGTATTTTGACTTATTTTCTTTCATTTGCAATAAGCATTTAAAATCGTTCCTGGGATAATTTGACTTGAATTTGGAAGGAAATAATATACATTCTGTTAAAGTTGGCAAGGAGAAAAACAAAATTAAGAAAGTATTTTAAAATTTTATTTTATTTATTTAAAATGCAATATATTTTCATGCTTATATAGCTTGTAAAAATCAATTTATATAAACGAAAAATTAATTTAAATCAAACTATTGAGTTAATATTATAAAATGAGTCCGAAAGGTTAGTATTAAGTTAAAAAAGAAATATATATATAAAAAAATTAATCAGGTCATCTTAACATTCCACCCTTTAAGAAATGAACTCCACTCAGGTTCTTCTTGTATGTGAATCTTATAAGTTCATGATATAATCTTGATATCGCGCAGGCAACGTTTTATGTCTATTCGGCCTCGAAACGTCAGCTAGACGATCATTATCTTGGTCGATGACATTTCTCCTTTTGTATAATGTAATCGTTGGTGAAGTGTTGTTTGGAATGTTTGGTTCAGTGGTAACTCTTTTTTTAAGTTGGTTTACGTGCCTCCTTAATACGCCATTTTTCGTGTGAATTTGATATAGCATGTTACTTTTTCTTTTAACTATAACGCCTTCATCCCATTTATTTACTCCAAAACTTTTGTACCAAATTTTTTCTCTAATATCCATAGTTCTTGGTAAAGCTGTAAGCAAAATTGTGTCGTTGTCTTTT